CAAGCTTTTGTTTTTCAGAGCAGTTGCATGAACATTTAGAAGAACATGGAGTGGAATATCTGCAGTTTGCATTCCGCTGGATGAATAACCTCTTAATGCGAGAAATTCCTTTGCGTGCTACCATCCGACTTTGGGATACTTACCTCGTGGAGTTTTGACTTGAGATATATCTTGCTTTAGTTTTCTTTTCCTTTCTCAATGATATTCTAAATCTTTATTTTGACTTTTCAGAGCGAGCGTAATGGGTTTTCGCAGTTCCACTGTTACGTTGCAGCTGCTTTTTTACGTATGTGGTCAAAACAGCTTTTAGCTGAAAAAGATTTTCAGGTTTTTAAAATCCTCTATTTCCGGCCTAACAAAATAAATACTAAAGTTGTGCTATAAAGTATAAGTGCATTGGTTTACTAATAATTGAAAATTAAAGAGTCATTTTACAGGGAATGATGATATTACTGCAGAATCTTCCGACTCACAATTGGGGTGATCAGCAGATTTGCGAATTGACTGCTGATGCTTTTTCTCTTATGTCAGTTTTCGAAGGTGCTAAAAATCATTTCACTTAAAATTTCCTGCCTATACTGTGCCTTTTTCGATACATTTTATTGATGGTAAGAGTACTCTATTCAAGTACAAAGAACGTACTCGTCGAAAAACACCTTTTGGCTGCTTTTTTTGGTACGATTAAAAATTTTTTTGAATTGTTGGTTTGGTATTAACGGAAGTGTCTTACATACCAATTAATTTCGTTTTGTTATTTCATTGTAGCTGAGTTGAGGGGTTTTTGACTTTTCTTGTTGCATGACATTGGTATTGGTTTTACAAGGTTTTCTGTATACCTTGATTTTACGAAATTTATATCTTTGATTGTATTTGGTTACCTGTTTTGCAAGTTTTTATAGCATAGTTGATATGGTTCTGCTGGGTGTTTATACAGATTCAAGTTTCTGAAGCAGTTGTAATCGCAATGTTTCAAAACGGTTTTTTCTTTGGTTTTGTTTTCAGTTATTTTTTACTAAACAGATTATTTATTTATTATTTATATTCTTTCTATTTTATTTTATTTGTATAATTAAGTCAGTTTTTGGTTCCGCGTACTTCATATGTTCATTGCAATAACGTGCTGTGTTTTCAAAACCTGAATTAGTTTCTTCAGACGCATAATTTTTTTAGTAGATATTTTTACTGAACAGTGCCTTGAATGAATGTACATTATGTTTCCAGAGGAAAATGTTGTTGACTGTAGAAATCGTTCGTCATTTCCCAGTCATTTATTCTGTTTTATTATTATTATTATTATTATTATTATTATTAT